ATGTTAAATCTTAATGAGGAAAAGAAGCAAGGACAGTTTAGGAATAAACTTCTGAAGCTGCGGCACTGAATTCAGCTTCCCTTGGTTCCTCCTACCCTTTTCCAAGCCTGGTTCCATAGATTAAGCAGATTCTGTGAGGTACTTAACACTCAATCAATAAATTCCTTTTCTGCTTAAATTAGCCAGAGTCCATTTCTATTGCTTGTACCATGTGTTCATGTATGTATGTATACATATTCCACCACCAACAGCAAATGTTCTTTGCCAAGGCAATTCTCGCAAAATATAAATTCGTGATCTTCTCCTGTTTCAAAAGATTCAATGCTTCTTTATCCCTTTGGGGACAGAACTACAAATTTTAACATGGCATCCAAAAACAATTTTTACTTTTCTTGTTTTACCTCTCACATTTTCACTCTTCTACCTTAGGTTGTACCTTCTTTTTCTTGGCTTCTTGGCAAGTTCTCATGTATCTTTCATGTTTCAGCTCAAGGATTATCTTCTCCATGAAATACAGTTTGAAGATTTTTCCTCTAGCCTTGTGTATACTTGTATGATAGCCCCTATTATAATCTACTGTAATTGTTCACCAGTTTGTCCTTCTTACTAGATTACAAGCTTCTTGAGGACAGTGACTGTCTAATTACCTATATATCACAACACCTAGGATACTTCTTGGCACATGATAGATGATCAATAAGTGTTTGTTGACTGGATAAATGAATGTATGTATGAATGATGAGTGAATGATGTCTGTAAGGCTCTGATGGTCAGCAGAAGAATCTTTCAGAAGATTCTGAGACATCCTGGGGTGGATTCGAACAGCCAACCTTTCTGTTAGTAGCTGAATGCTTAATCACATATGCCACGCAGGGACTCAGAACAATCATTCTAGAGCAACTACAATAAAGACTGTGCATTCTTGGAGCCCTGAGCTATCCAAAGGTGGTTTAGAAAACAAAGAGACACTGGCCACCTTGAAATAATCTTTAATGTTTTAAAATTTAACTAGTGCACACAAAGCAAGTTTTACCAGTAGAAGAATGAAAATGTATATATGGTGTTTAACAAAATTTACATTACAAAACAAGACCATGTTAAGAAAAGCTCAAAAGTAGAAGTAAATATTTAAATAAAAACCAAATAGACAACATGCCAAGGTATATGATTTAAAAAATTTAATACATGTAGTTGCCTAAATCCAGGCTTGAGACATTGAGATTTATTTTGCCAGTTAAAAAAAAAAAAAAGCAGAATGCCCTTCATTTTAAATGCATTTTAAAAAATGTCTGCACGTTGTTTTCCTGCTAGCAACTGCAGTGTAATCAAGTATATAAAAGAATACCAGGTGGATTCCAATCTGATAGTAAAAAGGTGTACCACCTGGTCTTCCTGTTAAGCACACGGTCCACCTCAAGAGGCAACAAAAACATCACATTACATGTTACCTTTCTACTGTCAGACCCGCTATACCACCCATGTCCCAAAGTGAGTGCAGTTGAAAATTACTTCAGCTTAAGAGAAAATGAAGACAAAAGTCTTCAGCACCTTGTGGTTTCTAAGCATAGGAAATATGGGCAGAACAGAAATACAGGAAGAGAAAAAAAGTGGATAAGACCAGTGATGGGCTCTTCAGTAAAATTCCACGTAAACACAACTGCTCAAGTAGATAGATTTATATATTGGGCGTTGTAAGAGAAAATAATTGACATTCAGAATTTTCTCAAATTTTAGCAGATCCCTCCAAATTATAAAGATTGGAGATTTATTCATACAATCATTTCCTAGAACTTCATAAAATAACTGAGCAACACCATGATGGTGGAGGTTGCGGTGAGAAAAAGGGGGTTGAGGAAGAAAGGAGCTCTCTTTTTTACTTCCTACCTAGCCACAGCCAATTTATTACAGCTCAATGAGTCCTTGGAAAACAAAACAATCAAAAATGTGTTTTATGCAAAGAAAGCATTTTCCAGGTGGGTACCCCAAACTGTAGCGCTTCCCTTAACACTTTAAAACACAGACTTAATTCCAGGACAAGCAGGTTTCCCTGAAATCCCCAGGACAACTGGTGCCCAGCTTTGCAAAGTTCGATTTGATGCTCAAGAATGGCAAATGGTAATGACACTAAGAACAGCATCTTGGTCATAACAGGGTAAGGATTTAATCAGCATGAAAGGCATTTATGTGCCAGTTAAGTTACATGGTGAAGAAATCCAAAGTTCAACTATTTCTTTTTCAGATGTGAACATCACTGAGAAGAGGATCTCTTGTGATATCTCATTTTATTGTTAACTAATTCCAGCCAGTCCTGCCTTACAGAAAAATATTAAAATCTTATATAAACCTTATCAATGGCCTGAGAAATGCAAAGACACATTCTCTAAAATATTTGTGCAAAAAATTGTTTCTCTCAGAGAGCAGGTTAAATTGCAAGAAGAAACCAGCCTCTAGGAAAAAAAATGTTAGGAATTTGTTTCTGTTTTCACTAAACAAACAAGGGAGGTCTTAACCCGAAATTTGCATATAGCTTTAAAATGTACTTTATATATTTAAATTCTAAAGAAATACTGACAATTGGTATTATAAAATGTGATGTGGTACATCTGTGGACTCTTTGAGGACTTACTATGTAAGTTTCTACTACATATTAATAAAATGTAATTGTACATTTTCAAATACAATTATGCCGACTTCACATCATTTATTCAGAACGTCAATATGCTTGGTTATTCTCCCAACCCTCAACCCTTTCAGAAGTAACAAAATTAAAAATCATTAGATTTGATAGTGACAAGTCAGGGAATACAACTTCTTCAGGGTTGAATGAAGAAGCCAGATATAAGTGCTTAATAAAATATTTTACAAGTATTATATATGGAATATAATTAATTAAAAATTACTTCCTGTTCATTAAAAGTATCTCTTTTGAACTTGAAAATGATACACAAATAGTTTCTATCTAATGTGCATACTTCTGTGATGCTACTGTTACAGCATTATACAGAGTCAGGCTAACACTGCACCATGGACACATATGCCACGTTTGTAATGCCCTGGATGGGAGGGGACCAAGTCCCCAAGTGCTAGGTTTCCAATCTCTTAACCAGTGTCAGTTTCTCTTTAGTTAGTAGGAGACAAGGTTTCTGTCTTCCCCACAGCTTCCTCACTGAAGAGCAGCTTTCGAAGTATATTTGCATAGAATGGTCCATACACTTGTTTGTTGAGATTCACAATGTTTGCATAATGAGAACCCAGCACTTCCAGCTCCTGCTGAATAACAGCAAGGCCTCCAGGAATGGGAGGCATGCATTTTGGAGGGCTTGGGAGACAAAGTAGGCTTTTCATGTACAGCTGGATTCGTTTATCTGAAGGAAAAAAAAAAAAAAAAGATAGCTTTATCTGTCCCTTTATTAAAGTACGTATTTTTAAAAAATGAGAATAAGTCACTGTGTTAGGTTGATTGCAGTAATGTTCCCAATTCTCCACTCCTCCCTGTATCTATGCCTTTTAAAGGTAGCTTTGCAGCTCCTTCCATCAAGAGATGGAGTGTTTCCTTGGTCTTATGACTTGCTCTGGCCAAGAGAGAATGCGAGGGAGGTGCTCATGTGCCAGTTCCATGTCTAGGCCTCAAGAGGCATTGCTTCATCTGCTCTCTCCATCTGCCACCACCAAAAGAACAAGTCTGGGCCTGCTAGAGTATGACAGACCATGAGGAGGGAAGCCCAGCTGTTCCACTCAAAGGCCATCGTAGACTATCTTATAGCCAACCAACTCCCACACATGAGAGATCCCAGCTAAGATCAGCAGAGCTACCTACCCAAACTACAGCCGACCACAGATGCCTGAGTCCAGCAAGACCAAAAGAACCACCGACTTACTCCCAGACGTGTGAGCAATAATATTTATTTTTAAGCTATTTTTTTTATTGTGGTGAAAATATACACACCAAAACAATCACCAGCACAACATTTTCCACATTTACAATTCAGTGACATTGATTACATTCTTCATGTTATGCCACCATTATCACTACACTTTTTCAAAATATTCCATCACCATTAACATAAACTCAGTGCCTCCCCAAACAAAAACTGCCCCTTCCCCCTTCCTCCCTCCCCTGGTAACCATTAATAATCTTTGGTTTCTATATATTTGCTGGAGCCCTGGTGATGCCGTGGTCAAGAGCTCAGCTGCTAACCAAAAGGCTGGCAATTTGAATCCACCAGCTGCTCCTTGGAAACCCTATGGGGCAGTTCTACTTTGTCCTATAAGGTTGCTATAAGTCAGAATCAACTCGATGAAAACAGGTTTTTTTTTAAAAAAATTTGCTTATTTCATATAAGTGAGATCATACAGTTTTTGTCCTTTTGCAACTGACTTACTTCGCACAGCATAATATTTTCAAGGTTCATCCATGTTGTGGCATGAATCAAAACTTCATTTCTCTTTATAGCTGCATAATATTCCATTGCATGTATATATCACACTTTGTTTATCCATTCATCTGTTGTTGGACATTTCGGTGTTTCTACCTGTGACCCTAATACTCCACAGCATGTTTTCTCCTTTTTCTAAATGGGCCACTGAGAGCTTGACATAACTAACACCATGATGAACCTATAAGTCTTTTTCCTGCCTGCCTTCTCCTTTCTGCATACCTTTGTTAATAACTTTGTTTTGTTCTGTCTGGCCACCTGTGACTTATGACCCCCCACATAAAGGTTAGCCCAGATGTCCAGTCTGTAAATCTTTAGCCTGATAAGGAGATGTCTGGCATGTATCTCTTTAGTCTGATGAAGAGTTTCTTGTAATTATCTTGTAATGAATAACTCATCTGGCCATGCATCTGTGGGCTATGTGCCTAAAAGACAGTACATCCCCCTTATGGCAACCATATATAAGGTCTAATGTAAAACTGCCTTTCGGGACTCCATAGATGTCTCTATGGAGTCTGCGTTGCTGTCGGACTCCCTGTTGGTGCCCACCTCCTAAATAAACTTTCTCTCTCTTTCTGACTTGAAGTATGCTTCATTGGCTCAACTGCTCCAGGGCACAGACCCTCTTCGGGCAACAAATTTTGGCGCCTGACATAGGGCTTGAATTACTAAGGCCCTGGTTCCGCCTCCCTAAGGACTAAGCCCCTGGGATGGACCTGGGAACAGAGAAGGTGTACCCCTCCTCGAGCTGTGGATGTGTCTCAACCTGTGGTGGCCCGTAGATCTGGCGATGGGGGAGGACTCCACAGCAGTAAGCTCCGGACGGAGGGAGAAAGTTCAGCTGTGTTACGGTAGGTGTTTGGGCCTCGGGTGGTAAATCCTCAGTAAAAGCCACAGGTGGTATTGGTTCTTATAGACTCCCTCCAAGAATGGGTGACTAGGTCTTGTGAGGTTAGACGAGAGACCAGTGAGGTTCCCTGTTGCAAGTGGGTACCCAGGGAAGCAAGGTTCTGGCCAAGAGTCCATTAGGTCTTATTCTTTCTAACTGGACTTATTTTGGGGGATTCACTAACTAAGAGATGTCTTAAAAGTTTATGTAATCAGGGGTGGCCTCAATACCAGCTCCCTGATGGGGTCAAGTGGCTTGTAAATGGTTCTAGAGATTTTGGTGCTATTCTGCAGCTTGATCTGTCTTGTACTCGAACTAACAAGTGGGATGAAAAGCTGTATGTAGAATGTTTTATGACATTATGGCATGTAAAAAAGGATAAAGCCTCTGTTTTAGCCCCTCTTGTGCAGCCAAATAATGATGACAGGGTAAGAGATGAAGAACCAGATGGTCTTTGGTCTTTCATTCCCCCACCTCAAAAAACCCCCTCGGCACCCATTTATGACCCCTCTCCGGTGGTATCAAAAGATGAGGATGGGAAGGCATTGAAGAAGGGTGGAGGACGTGGGACAGTTATGGTCTCCCCACCCCATACTAGGAGTAGGGTACAATTTGGCCCAGTTCCCCCGGAGGGCTTTACCCACTCCATGAGGTACCAGTCCCCACTGCAGAAGGGCACCTCAGATGATACAGGTCCATAATCCATTCCCGGCTTCTAATTTGTACAATTGGAAGTGAAATCTTCCGGAGTATTGGTCAGACCCATGCCATGACTGAACATTTTTCTCACATTTTCACTACCCATCAACCTACATGGGCAGATTGTCAGACTTTATTAGATGTACTCCTCATAGCAGAAGAAAGATGGATAGTCTTAGCAAAAGCAGAAGAAAACTGCAGAAGGTAGAAGGAGGACTAGGGACCCTGTCTTTAACTCAATTAGTTGAAATTGCATTTAAGGTCTTTACCAACAGAGATCAGGTAAAAGAGGCCAAGACAAAGACCAGGACATGAAGAAACAGGCCAATCTACTGGCCACTGCTCTAGGATTGTCTGGAGGAAGATGACGAGACGAGGTAAGGATGGGCGCTGACTAAAGAAAAACCAATGTGCATTTTGCAAAGAGTAGGGACGCTGGAAGAATGAGTGTCCCAAAACAAACAATGGAAAAGGGCCAGGCAAGATTGAAAGGGGGCAGAAGCTTTTTCAAAGAATTATGAAAGAGCAGGAGGAGGACTCTGAATGATGGAGACTGGGGGAGATAATTTTTGATTTACCTCCTACTGACCTCCTGGTAAAAATTATGGTAGGAGGACAGCCAGTAGACTTTTTGGTTGATACCAGAGCAGCCTTCTCAGTACTCACCCAGAAGTCTAAAGGGACTTCCTTGATTAGCAGTACTCAAGTTGTTGGGGTGACTGGAAAAGAGGTGACTCGATCCTTTTTGCAGCCAATGGACTGTGAAATAGGAGAAACCAAACTATCCCACCAGTTTCTATACATGCCCGAATGCCTGGTCCCCCTTTTTGGGGCGGGATTTCCTAAGTAAAGTGCATGCTGAAATCTCTTTTGATGAAAAAGGCTTGTCTCTGACAGTACAGCCAGCAAATGCCTGGAAACTGCAAGCAGCTCTCTTAGCTCTCACCCAACCAGTGCTACCACCAGCGTCTGTCTCACCCACGGTTCAAAGAATAGTTGATGTTGTGGCCCTGTGGGTTTGGGCCAGTGGCCAGCCAGGATGAGCTCAGACTGTCCTCCCTGTGACCATGGAACTGCTACCCAACATCATACCTCCTTGGATTAAACAATATCCACTGAGAGTTGAGGGTTGTCTGAGACTGCAGGGACTGATCACCCGATAACTAGAGTGGGGACTGTTGTAAGAGTGCCGATCCCCATTCAACACTCCTGTTCTGCCAGTGAAGAAGGCGTCAACCTGTGAATACTGTTTTGTTCAAGATTTGCTGGCTGTTAACAAAGTTGTGAAGACCCTACACCTGGTAGTCCCAAACCCATATACCCTACTATTGGCCCTCCCACCTTCCTGTACTCATTTTACTGTTTTAGATTTAAAAGACGCTTTCTTTTGTATCCCGCTGGCCGCTGAGAGCCAGCTGATCTTTGCTTTTGAATGGGAAGGGGATAAAGGAAAGAAACAGCTCTGGTGGACTGTGCTACCCCAAGAATTTAAGAACTCCTCCACTGTTTTTGGAACAGCACTGGCCCAAGATCTAGAGTGGTTACCTCCCCTCAACCGAGGAGTGGTCCTCAATATGTGGACAGCTTCCTGATAGGAAGCGAGTCTGAAGAAGACTCTGTTACAAATACTGTGACTGTCTTAAATTTTTTGGCCGAGGCTGGATACTGAGTGTCTTTAGGAAAGTTATAAGCTAACCTCACAGAGGTAAAATAGCTAGGTTTCTTCGTCTCCCAAGGGCAAAGACGATTACTACCTGAAAGAATAGAAGCCATCTGCTGCCTAGCCCCTACTAAGACACATGAACAACTCAGAGGATTCCTAGGAATGGCAGGTTTCTGTCACATCTGGATTCCAAATTTTGGGGTCCTGGCACAACCTATCAGGCTACTCAGGGGGTGGAGAGAGATCATTTTGAATGGACTCCTGAGTGTCAATGAGCCTTTTGTGATTTAAACTCCCAGTTGATGAAAGCCTCAGCCCTAGGACTGCCAGATTATCAAAAAACCTTTGAATTACATGTAGATGAAAGAAGAGGAGTAGCCATTGGTGTATTAATCCAGTAGTTGGGACCATGGAGATGCCCTGTTGCCTATTTCTCTAAAAATTTGGACACTGTCTCAAAAGGCTGGCTGGCCTGCCTCTGGGTGGCTGCCACAGCTAGCATTATCATAAAAGAGGCTAACAAATTTAGTTTGGGACATGATACTATCGTGTTTGTCCCTCACGTGGTAACCGTAATATTGGAACAAAAAGGACATTATCCAAAGACTTATCAGCCAAAGATTCCTGGCCCTCAAGGAACAGGACCTTTTCCAGGTGAAATATGGCAAATTGACTTTT